TTGCAATAATTAAAAATTTATTACTTGAGGGATATATCTTATATATTTTTAATTTTTTTGTTGAATTTACTTAGAAAATACATATTTTTTTCATATATTTTAGTAAGTAAACTATTCAATGTACAACAAATTGACAACAAATTCAATCAATAATTATTGATAAATTGACATTAACTATTAAAGTTATATCCTGTCGATGAATTCTGTTGCAATATTTGAATCTGTGTAGATTAACAACAGAAATGGAAATCGAGTAAACATCTGTCAATTGCAGATTCTGTTCTATTTCTACCATTAAACTACATAAAATTCTGTTTGATTTCTGCCAGCTTGCAGTTGCTGTATTTCTGTCGATTATACCTTCTGTAGTACAAAACTATGTTAAATTCTATACATGATTGTCTTTCGATTAATGTTCTCTAACGGCTCTTTTGCCGAAGATTCTGCCCACTATCCTATTGGAGATCGACAGCTAATACCAACATTGTTGAAATTAGGTCTGTAACTGAACTAATGTACACTTTTGGAACTTAATGTGAGATATAGGTATAGGTTTGATTAATCCAAAGCGAGAAAGAGAATTTTAGTGCAGTCTAGCGCAGGAACAGAAAACAAACCAATTAAACTTTCTTGTAGTGCGTTTAAAAAAAACATTAGATTTGGCTCTTCTGTCAGAGATTATCAAAGCTTTACCGAAAGTTGAATGTTTTGAGTGTCATTATTAAAATTTGCATTGTTTTCTAAAAACAAATGTGTTTTCTAAAAAAGTCATCAGATCTAATTCCCAGAGAGATCTTTCAGAAGATCGGAGGAAAATTAGATGTAGACAATAGTATTTAATTTAATTAAAAAGATTGTGCTTGGTTAATTCAACGATTTTTTAAGGCTTATAAAGAATATTTTATCTCGCGCGAGTAATGAAAAACTAAAAAAAAGTGCACTATAGAGTGCATTGTTTGTGACTATCTTATAATAATTATTTCTGTAACTTTAAAAAATTATTTTTAATAATAATATATAAAAAAAAATTATTTTATTATTTCTTTTATTATTAAAAAAAGCGAATGTATAATGAAAAAAAATAAGATAAATAATTGTAAAAATTCCATTTTATATTATTTTTGGCCACCTAGTATATCTATTGTGGCCACGTAGGATGTCAATTTTGACCATTTGAAAGATTTAACATTATAACAAATTTTGTTCAAAATAAAAAGGATCAAAAAACAAAAATGCAAAATATTATATATTTCAATATTTATAAAACAAAAAATGCACTTTGATATATTATTTAATATATATTTATATATTTCTTTAATTTTGTATCACATTATAAAGTATTAAGGGCGGCTGCATCCATTTTCGTAATATCGTAACAGTAATCATAAGATAAACATAAGATATACTGTAAGAATTAACTAATCGAAAAGCTGAAAATTAAAAATAATAACCTTTCATTTTTGACACAATTCTTGATTGTAATTGGCTAATTCTTACGACATGTCTTATAATTATAATTACAGAAAATGTGGACGATGATCCTAATCACAATATAGCAGAGAATATTTATTAAGCTCGATATGAAACTTATTATTAGATAAACTTTAAAAAGCTTTAAACAAACAATTTTTAGAATAACGCTTTTTAGTATTATCTTCGGGTATTATCTTCAAAGATACCAGAAGGTGTTTACAATGACATTAATAATAGATAAAAACACGGTGATAACTCACAAATCTTCTGGTATAATTTTTAGAATATTTTCTCTTTATATTTATTTCAATTTATTTCCTTTTTTGCTTCATTTTTTAAAAATTTTATTCTTTTTGCTAATTTAATTTATCTCACCTTTTTTCTGCAATTTAATATTTCTTTCTTTTTCTTTCTTTTCTAATCACTTTTGTTTCTAAGTTCTAGCAATTCTATGGCCAAAAGTGAAAAATGCGAAAAAACATGCTCAATTTTTTGCCATTCTGTTTATTTATAAAAAGCAAATTAATTTTATAAACACAAGAATAAAAATAAAAATTCCTTCAATTCAAAATACAATAAATGTCAAAATCAATAGGAATCTGCGCTGTACTTCGTGCGTTAACAATTAATATAAATATATAAATACATGTAAAAGATGTTAAGTCAAATAATAAAATTCATAATACATTGTCATCTTTTAAAACTAAGAACGAGACAAATAAAACGTACGTTTTGGCTAACTTCTAGCCTTCTAACGTTATAAAAACTGTTCTAGTCATGGATGGTAGAATAACGTGACCATCCGCTAATTTCTTCACGCAATTGTCAGGCAAAAGGAGCTAGAAGGCTAGAAGTTAGCCGAAACATACGTTTTATTCGTCTCGATGTATACCTCTCTATGTATACTGTTACGTTATCATTAAAAAATATATTAAATTCCACTTATGGCGTTTCGGGAATTCTTATCATTTTTTTCT